GCTCAGAAGCCAGGGCTGTGGTCTCACATTCCTGGACCCCTTTGGTGATCCGAGGGAGGTTCTATCCGTTCCAGGACAGTATGCTCATGTTGTTTGCGTACAGTTTGAGGGGATTCACACACACACACTCCAAGACCATTTGTGGACCCAGATTCTCCTAGATGCCCTGAGGAGCCTAGGCCCAAGGAGAAAGGGCCTTGCCAGAGGTCACACAGGCGACCAGGAGCCAGTCCCTGGAGGGGTCAGCAGGGCCTACCCTACAGACCCCACCTTTTTCTTCCAGTGTGTCCCCAGCACCCAGGCCACATTTTTCCACTGCTCAGACACCAGCAGTCTTGCTGGCCGCACTCTTAAGCTCCAGGTCACGAAGTCCAGTCCTTTTCTTGTGCACTGTTCGCTCCCCGATAGACCACCCTGTTCCTCTGGAGAGCTTGTCTATCACTAGACCCACTCCTGGTAGTCTGTTCCAGCATTAAGAAAACAGCATCTCTGCTCCCCCATATCCATCCTGGGTGGTGCCGGGGACACAGGAGGGACAGCCCCAGCCCTGTCCTTCCAGGGCGTACAGTCCAGGGAGGGAGATAGGAAGTCCCTGGCCAGTAACAACTGAGAGGAGTGTCCTGGGACTGGGCAGAGGGGTGACGTAACCCAGCCAGGGTGTGGGACATCAGGGAGGTCTTCTCGAAAGAGGGGACACTCGGGCTGAGACCAGGGAAGGATGAGTAGGCGGCAGCAGCAGGAGGCTGCAGGGACTGAGGGAGGCGTTCGCCAGCTGGTTCTGGACCTGCAGTGCCAAGCCTGGCTGACCTAGGGGACGAAGGAGGAGCCCTGGTCAAGAGAAGAGGTCAGGCTGTGGCCGCTGGGGAGGGCGCCCCTGGGGGCTCTTGCAGGTCAGGTGGGAATTTAGCCTGTCTCTTGAGGGTCTCTGGGAAGGGAGTCAGGTCTGATTTTTCCAAAGTCCCCTTCAGGCTATTGTATGGAAAGTGAATCAGAGGCTCATGGGAGGCCCAGGTTGGGGCCCGGGGCAAAGCTGACAGGGAAGGAGGGGAGGGGTGATTCTGGAGCCTTTAGGTGGTTGGGTGGGCAGCACCAGTGACCACCTGGCCCTGAAGAGGAGTGGGGCTTCCTCGGTTTCTGGCAGGTCCTCACTGCTACTCTGCTCTGCCCATTCAGCCTCTTCCCCACCTGTCTACGCCTCCCCCTCCCTTAGAGGCCCCACCCCTGTACTCTGTTAGCCTCTTAAGGATTTTTGGGGTTGTGGGGGTGCTCTTCTGGCTCAATAAAGACTTCCTGGTTGACACTCACATGGCAAGTGGTGTTTGGGCAAGGGCTTCAAAGGCAGTTCCTGGGGCCTCCCATTAGCACAACGGATTGGGGTACAGCCACCCACTCGGGGAACAGACCCCAGGGCCTGCCTTCGTGCGTGCTCGTGCTGTGCCAACCCTCTGGGTCCTACTGGTACTGGCACTTGGTGTTGAGCTAGGGGCTCATTGTATGCCCCGGCTCCAGCCGCCTCTTGTCCCTCCCTTCACTATTACTCTGATTGTGCCTGTATCCCCCACACAGACCTTGGTCTGGCACCCCCCATCTTCCCAGCACCAGCGCAAGCCCTGTGTCCCTGTCAGGAGTGGGTGAGCAGTTCCTTAGCCCTCTGCTGAGCTGGTCTGTGGATTGCTGTTCTCCCTGGAGGGGCTGGTGGAAGCCAATAGCTGCCTTCTCTCCCTAGCAGGGGTGGGCAGCCCTGCCATTCCCCCAGGGCTTGGCAAACATATCTTTCCCAAAGTCATCCTCAAAGAGAGGGTGTCACGGGCTCCCTGTTCCACTCACTGTGGGGCTTCCTGGAGTTGGATGTCTTCTCCCTTGAACCAGGCCTGCAGGTTTTCCAAGCGCGGGGCTGCAGTGTGCCTTCTATTGGGTCAGGGGAGTCTCCTGTCTCCTGCGGGGGCTTTAGAAGTCAGGGTTGGCTCTTCCCCTCCTGTGGGCAGACAGCAGGGCGGGGCTCCCAAAGGGTGGTGGGACTCCCACCTCCCAGGGGGCAGCTGGGCAGAGAGGACAGGCCCACTCTCCGCCTCCTCGCAGCCACCAACCTGTGCTTTGCGGAGCGGAACGTGTACACGTCAGAGGTGCTGGCCGTGGTGATGCAGCAGCTGATGGAGCAGAGCCCCCTGCCCATGCTGCTCATGAGGACCGTCATCCAGTCCTTGACCATGTACCCCCGCCTGGGGGGCTTCGTCATGAACATCCTGTCCCGCCTCATCATGAAGCAGGTAACCCACCCCTGGCCACCCCATCCCCAGGCTGCAGATGGCAGCAGGCCATGCTGACAGAACTCCCCTTCCCCTCCTGACCCCCAAGGGAGCCGGGTGGAGGATGGCTGGCTCTGCTCTGCCTTCTGCCAGGAAAATAGCAGTGCTCCAGGGTCTATGACTTGGCCAGCTCCCAGGTGATGAGGGAGGGCAGCTGGGTGGTAAGAGCATGGTAACCCTCAAGGAGCGTGCACTCAGGAGAAACATGGCTGCTCCTCACCCCCACCACTGTGCCCGGCCAGGATGCATCCCAGAGCTGAAACATGGTCCAGGTTTTTGAGAGGTGCTAGAAATTTGGGCTTTAGAAATGCCACAATTGAGTCCAGGCATGATGGCTCACACTTGCCATGTAACCCTTCGGGAGGCCAAGGCAGAATGTTTGCTTGAACCCAGGCGTTTGGGGCTGCAGTGAGGAAGAATCGCCCTACTCACTGCACTCCAGCCTGAGCAACAGAGTAAGACCGTGTCTCAAAAAAAAAAAAAAAAAAAAATTACCATGATGAAACAAAAAACAAACCCCATCTGCAAGCCTCAGACTCTGTTTTGCCTGTGGGTTGCCACTTTACACCATCTGGCTTAGAGGTTATATGTGGATTCAGACAGACCTGGGTTCAGACGTGCCCCTCCTTCCTCATTTGACCCTGCACAGGTCCTGCACCCCCACAGACCTCTGCTGTTTAGCAGGGCTCATATCGCCCCCTGGAGGCTGCTGTAAGAATGTACATGTGACCCTGGGCAGGTCTCAGCACCCCCACCGGCCTCTGCTGTTTAGCAGGGCTCATATCGCTCCCTGGAGGCTGCCGTGAAAATGTCATGAGAGGTGCTCCTGCAGCACTTAGCCTGGGCCTGGCCCAGCAGAGGAAATCCAGAAAAGGCAGCCCTGGGTTTTATTCCACCTCCTTCCCAAGTTGACCTCATGGTCCAGCTGCCTGGTTTGGGAAGACAAAGGCCCCTGGAGGGAGGTCAGGGCTGCTTGTGGCCCATCCAGAGGAATGGACGGTGGGATTTGGGCATGGTCTTGACAAGGTCTTTCTTCCAGTGTCAGGGGCTGGGGGTCTGCCTGTGTGGCCCTCCTGATGGCTCCCTCCCTGCCTGGTCCAGGTGTGGAAGTACCCCAAGGTGTGGGAGGGCTTCATCAAGTGCTGCCAGCGCACCAAGCCCCAGAGCTTCCAGGTCATCCTGCAGCTGCCACCCCAGCAGCTGGGAGCCGTCTTTGACAAGTGTCCCGAGCTCCGGGAGCCCCTGCTGGCTCACGTCCGCTCCTTCACCCCCCACCAGGTACCCCTTCCCCCTACCCCAGGTGTGTGGTGCCCCCTGGGTCCCTCTGGTTTGGGGGGAACTGAATGGAGGTGAACACCAGAAGGCCCTGCACTGCTGGCAGCTTTGGAGGGTCAGGGCACCAGGATCTGAGGTGTGCAAGTGGGGTCTCTGTGCCAGAGCTGTCCCCAGCACCCCCTTCCTGCTCTCCACCCAGCAAGCTCACATCCCCAACTCCATCATGACCATCTTGGAGGCAACCGGCAAGCAGGAGCCAGAGGCCAAGGAGGCATCTGCGGGGCCCTTGGAGGAGGTGAGGGCCCTGCAGCCTACCCATCTGGATCCTCAGATCCTCACCCGGTACCCCAGGCCAGCAAGGCTCACCGTGGCCTGCTCCCAACCCCGAGACACGCAGGCCACCCCTGCTTCCGAGCCACCTATCTCCCAGGGGATGCTCCTGCTGGAACGGAGTTGGGGGTCTGGGGGACAACTGCCCCTCCCTCCCTGTGCCCATAGTGAAGAGCTCAAAGACCACCTCAGGGTGGCCCCTTCTCTTTGCCACTGTCCTCTGAGCCACTCGCCTCTGAGCTTCTGTGTGGCCCTCCTCACCCCCAGGATGACCTGGAGCCCCTGGCCCTGGCCCCTGCCCCGGCCCCCCGGCCCCCACAGGACCTCATCGGCCTGCGGTTGGCCCAGGAGAAGGCCTTAAAGCGGCAGCTGGAGGAGGAGCAGAAGCTGAAGCCGGGAGGAGTGGGAGCCCCCTCCTCTTCCTCCTCTCCCTCAGCCCGGCCTGGCCCGCCTCCGTCGGAGGAAGCCATGGATTTCCGGGAGGAGGGGCCTGAGTGCGAGACCCCGGCCATCTTCATCAGCATGGATGATGACTCGGGGCTGACTGAGGCCGCACTGTTGGACTCTAGTCTGGAGGGGCCCCTACCCAAGGTAGGGAGAGCAGAAGGATCCGAGCCGGGGTGAAGGTGGCGGGGGCGGGTGCCAGGGTGCAGAGCGTGGAGGGGACCGCGCCCTCCGACCGGCTCCCCTTCACCTGTCACCAGGAGGCTGTAGCAGGCGGGTTGACCTCGAAGGAGGAGCGGAGCCCCCAGACCCTCGCCGCTATTGGAGAAGATGCTGTGAAGACCCCCAGCCCAGCCGCCGAGGATGTGGGGGAACCCGAGGCCAAAGGGAATAGCTGACGGGGCTCGAGGGGGAAGGGGGGTGGGACCGGGACGTGAGGCTGGGAGATGGGGCGGAGCTCGACCTGCGGATGCTTTGCCTTAAAAAAAAATAAAATAAAAGATGTGAAACTGGACAAGTTACTGAAAAGAAAAAAAAGGAGTAGTGGGCCTAGGTCGCGGGTGTGGTTTCGGGCCTGGCGCGACATCGGCTGTGGGGCTGCGCGGGATCGGGAGTGCGCGCCCGGAGCGGCGCGGAACCCACCCTGGCCCAGCTCCCCGCGCCCTCCCCGGTAACGGCCCCCCTCCAGTGCTCGAAACCTGCGGTGCTGACGGGCGGCTCACTCGGCCTCCCTGTCTGCAAGCCTTCCTCCTAGAGGTCTGTGCCTCCTTGCGAGCCATGGGGGACCAGCCGCCCTACCCTGAGTCCCTTCCCCAGCAGACCCCGAGCCGGAGGAGTTCTCAGGCCTCTGAGAGGCGGCGCAGTCGGGGCCAAGCTCAGCCCCTGGCAGCCGACCCCGAGGAGGGGCGGCAGATGCCTCCAGACGCCCAGCACAACGCCCCGGGCTGGTCACAGAGGCGCAGCCTTTCCCAACAGGAGAGCTTCCCGATGCCCCAGGCCTTCCAGGCTGAGGAAGCCCGGCTGGGTGGCACCGAGTACCCATCCGTGAACTTGGGCTTTCCCTCAGAGTTCCAGCCCCAGCCTTACCCAGACGAAAGCAGGAGCCAGGCTGCCCAGGGCACCACCAGCCTAATACTGCAGCGGTTCCAGCCGGGCCAAGGCGGCCTGTTCCAGCAACTGGACCCCGCCTTCCAGGAGCCCCCGGTCAGCCCCTTGGACCAGTTCAACCTCTACCCGACAGACCAGATCTACGAAAGTGCCCAGCATGGGCCCTACAGAAGAGACGACCCTGCCCTTCAGTTATCGGGCTCTGAGCTGGGCTTCCCGCAATACAGCGCGGAAGTGCCGGAGCCAGAGCCGCTGGAGCTGGCCGTGCAGAACGCCAAGGCCTACCTGCTGCAGACCAGCATCAACTGCGACCTCAGCCTGTGAGCAGGGGCCAGGAGTGGGGCCGGTGGGGGACCCAGGCAGGGAGGGGCCCCAGCCAAGGCCCTGCCTCAGTCAGTCACACAAGGGATGTCCCTCATGGAAAACCAGTGACTGCTCCAGGCCTCTAGTTGAGCTAGGAGTTGGAATCAATGGCACCAACAGCTAGCATTTACTAATCAGACGTGTGCTGCCACTGCACACACTCACACCTAATTCTCAGCTGAGATGAGCACATCTGCTCATCCTGCTTTACAGAGGAGGAGATAGACACACAAGTTGGGTTGCTTACCCAAAACCACACAGCTAGGATGTGGCAGTCAGGGTTCCAGAACACGTTGACTTGGCTCCCCAGGCCCTCTTCCTTTATTTATTTATTTTTTTTCAGACATAGTCTCACTCTGTCCTCCAGGCTGGAGTGCAGTGGCACAATCTTGGCTCACTGCAAGCTCCGCCTCCTGGGTCCAAGTGTTTTCTCCTGCCTCAGCGTCCCCAGTAGCTGGGATTACAGGCGCACTCCACCACATCCAGCTAATTTTTGTAGTTTTAGTAGAGACAAGGTTTCACCATGTTGCCCAGGCTAGTCTTGAACTCTTGACCTCAAGCGATCTCCCTGTTTCAGCCTCCCGAAGTGCTGGGATTACAGACATAAACCATCACACCCAGCCCAACTCCCAAGACTCTCTTCTTATCCAGCAACGAAACCTCCCTGCCTGAAGACACTTGCCAAAGCCACTTAGCTGCAGTCACAGTGCACCGCTCTCAGCCTCCGTGAGGTACCCAGGAAGCTCTCATTCTAGGGGAGTGGACAAGAAACAGAAAAACGGATAAACTGAAGTCAAGGGGGGCTCAAGTGAAAAATCAGGGAAGCTAAGAGGGCTGGGAACACATGTGAAATAGTGTGGGTCTGGCCAGGCGCGGTGGCTCATATCTGTTATCCCAGCACTTTGAGAGGCCAAAGCAGGCGAATCACCTGAGGTCAGGAGTTCGAGACCAGCCTGGCCAACATGGCAAAACCCTATCTCTACTAAAAAATACAAAAATCGCTTGCCGGGCGCGGTGGCTCAAGCCTGTAATCCCAGCACTTTGGGAGGCTGAGGCGGGTGGATCACGAGGTCGAGAGATCGAGACCATCCTGGTCAACATGGTGAAACCCCGTCTCTACTAAAAATACAAAAAATTAGCTGGGCATGGTGGCGCGTGCCTGTAATCCCAGCTACTCAGGAGGCTGAGGCAGGAGAATTGCCTGAACCTAGGAGGCGGAGGTTGCGGTGAGCCGAGATCGCGTCATTGCACTCCAGCCTGGGTAACAAGAGTGAAACTCCGTCTCAAAAAAAAAAAAAAAAAAAAAAATACAAAAATCATCAGGATGTGGTAGCATGGGGCGGTAATCCCCGCTACGTGGGAGGTTGAGACAGGAGAATCGCTTAAACTCAGGAGGCGAAGGTTGCAGTGAGCCAAGATCATGCTGCTGCACTTCAGCCTGGTCAACAGAGTGAGACTCCATCTCAAAAAAATAGTATGGGTCAGGGAAAGCCTCTCCAAGGAGGTGACATTTCATTAGGGCCCCAAAGGAGGCGAGGGAGGGCACCTTGCAGATAACTGAAGGAAGAGTGAACCAGGCAGAGCACATGGCAAATGCAAAGGCTCTCAGGCTTGCTGTCTTTGAGGAGCAGTAAGGAGGGGCAGATATGTCTGGAACCAAGGGAGGAAGAGGGAGAATCGGGAGAAGTGAGGTTGATGAAGTCATGGTTCTTGTTAAACACAAAGCTTGGCCCCATCCCTCCAATGCTCAGCACCTGCTATGGCTCCCCTTTGCCCACAGTGTGAAGCTCAGACTCCTCACCACAGCCTTCAAGGCACCTGGCCTGAACCATTTAACACCCTGCTCGTGCCTGTAATCCTAGCACATTGGGAGGCCAAGGTGGATGGATCACTCAAGGTCAGGAGTTTGAGACCTGCCTGGTCAACATGATGAAATCCCATTTCTACTAAAAAGTTTTCAAAATAGCCAGGCATGGTGGCGCATGTCTGTAATCCCAGGTACTCAGAGGCTGAGGCAGGAGAATCGCTTGAACCCAGGAGGCGGAGGCTGCACCAAGCTGAGGTCATGCAACTGCACTCCAACCTCTCAAAAATAAATAAATCAAGTTGCAAGCCCTCTTCCATCCCTGGCACCCCAGGCCCCATTCTCTACTTTATGTGTCACCCTAGAAATTACCACCCCATGCCTGACACACTATATATATTTCGCTTGTTTGTTTAATGCCAGTCTCCTTCATAAGAATGTCAGCTGGGCGCAGTGGCTCACGCCTGTAATCCCAGGACTTTGGGAGGTAAGCAGATCACAAGGTCAAGAGTTAAAGACCAGCCTGACCAACATGGTTGAAACCCCATCTCTACTAAAAATTAAACATTAGCCAGGCGTGGTGGCGCACACCTGTAATCCCAGCTGCTCAGGAGGCTGAGGCAGGAGAATTGCTTAAACCCAGGAGGCGGAGGTTGCAGTGAGCCAAGATGGTGCCACTGCACTCCAGCCTGGGTGACAGAGCGAGACTCCATCTCAAAAACAAAGAAAAAAGAAAAAAAAAAAAAGCTACACCTGGGCAGGGACCTTTCTGTTCCCTACTGTGTCCCCAGCAGCAGGCACAAGGCCAGGCACAGGGCAGCTAGCTCAGTGAGCTGAGTGAGTGATGTCCCCCTCCTCCCACTCCTCCTGCGGGAGGCAGGTATGAGCACCTGGTGAACCTGCTGACCAAGATCCTGAACCAGCGGCCCGAGGACCCCTTGTCAGTCCTGGAGTCGCTGAACCGCACCACGCAGTGGGAGTGGTTCCACCCCAAGCTGGACACGCTGCGGGACGACCCAGAGATGCAGCCCACCTACGAGATGGCAGAGAAGCAGAAGGCGCTGTTCACCCGGGGTGGAGGCAGCGCCGAAGGCGAACAGGAGATGGAGGAGGAGGTGGTGAGTGAGCCAGGCAGGAGAGGCGGGCGGCGGGATGGGGGCAGGGCCCAAGCTTACTTAACGCAAACGACAGCATTCCACAATCCGGCCACAAAACAACTTCAGTCTTGGCCGGGTGGGGTGGCTCAGGCCTGTAATCCCAGCACTCTGGGAGGCTGAGGCAGGCGGATCACGAGGTCAGGAGTTCGAGACCAGGCTGGCTAACATGGTGAAACCCTGCTTCTACTAAAAATACAAAAATTAGGCATGGTGGCGGGTGCCTGTAATCCCAGCTACTCAGGAGGCTGAGGCAGGAGAATCGCTTGAACCTGGGAGGCAGATGTTGCAGTGAGCCGATACCGAGGCACTGCGCTCCAGCCTGGGCGTCAGAGGAGACTTTGCCTAAAAAATTAATAATGGGCACAGTGGCTCACACCTGTAATCCCAACACTTTGGGAGACCGAGGCAGGCAGATCACAAGGTCCAGAGATCAGACCATCCTGGCCAAAATGGTGAAACGTGGTCTCTACTAAAAATACAAAAATTAGCTGGGCATGGTGGTGTGCGCCTGTAGTCCCAGCTATTAGGGAGGCTGAGACAGGAGAATTGCTTGAACCTGGGAGGTGGAGGTTGCAGTGAGCCAAGATTGCACCACTGCTGGCAACAGAGTGAGACTCTGTCTCAATAAATAAATAAATACATATAAACTAATTAATTCAATTAAAAATCATAGGTCAAAAATACTTTAACACCGTGAAAAACCCACCCTAACGTTGAAAAATCTAAGTCAAATTATCTTAAGTCTGGGACTGTCTGTATTTAATTTCACAATCCCAAAATCAGATAATGCTTAAAATTTGGGTCAAGCGTTCTTTCACTTGTTCAACAATCTTTTGTTGTGGACTCTATGATAATTCTGACACCTGCTTGGTCCCCTGCTAAGAGCTTCCGGAGTGTGCTCTCATTTCACCCTGTTACCCAAGCACCAGCCACGCAGGCTACGTGCTGCTACTCTCTGCACACAGAGCCAATCACTGAGACATTCAGAATTGCCAGCTAGAGAGGTTTGTTTTTTTTTTCTTTTTAAAAAAATTTTAATTAATTAAGTCGGGGCCGGGCACAATGGCTCATGCTTGTAATCCTGGCTCTTTGGGAGACCAAGACAGGCGGATCAGAAGGTCAGGAGTTCAAGACCAGCCTGGCCAACATGGTGAAACCCCATCTCTACTAAAAACACAAAAATTAGCCAGGCGTGGTGGCACGTACCTGTAATCCCAGCTACTTGGGAGGCTGAAGCAGGAGAATTGCTTGAACCTGGGAGGCAGAGGTTACAGTGAGCTGAGGTTGTACCACTACATTCCAGCCTAGGTGACAGAGCAAGAGTCTGTCTCAAAACAAATAAATAAAAATAAATAATTGAGATGGGGTCTTGCTATGTTGGCCAGGTTTGTCTTGAACTCTTGGCCTCAAGCCATCCTCCTGCCTCGGCCTCCCCAAGTGTTGGATTACAGGCATGAGCCACCACACCTGGCCAAGAGCTGGAGTTCTTAATTTGGGGTCTGTGGAAGGGCAAAATTGGGGGCTTTGTGGCCTGTGAATGCTTTTAGGAAATGACTCATAAAAAATGGGTGATTTGGCATTTTCTATTTTTTCTTCTGTCTAGTGAGAGGCAAGGCTCTTATTTCTCTCATTTTCTACATTCCAGACAGCTAGCCAGGACCTTCAACGGCATTTAGGCGATAAACCATTCCTTCCCACCCCACACAGTTTTCAAATGCCTCCCGCACCATCTGTTTCCCCACACAGGGTCCTGCCGGAGTCTCTGCGACACCCAGCCTTCAATCTGTGGATGGCTTTCTGCTCTGAGACCCTCCTGTTTACTGCTGACAGCAGCTCATGCCGGGTGTCACTGTTTTGGTAGCATAAGTCTCCCCATCACTGAACCTCAAGTGCTTGGCTATTCTCACATTTATAATTTTATTTATTTATTTATTTATTTATTTGCAATGGAGTCTCACTCTGTCACCTAGGCTGGAGAGCAGTGAACTCCGCTCACTGCAACCTCCACTTCCCAGGTTCAATGTGATTCTCCTGCCTCAGCCTCCCGAATAGCTGGGATTACAGGTGTATGCCACCACGCCCAGCTAGTTTTTGTATTCTTTGTAGAGACGAGGTTTTCCCATGTTGACCAGCCTGGTGTCGAACTCCTGACCTCAAGTGATCTGCCTGCCTCAGCCTCCCAAAGTGCTAAGATTTCAGGTGTGAGCCACTGCCCCTGGCCTCTCTTGACTCTAGAAGAGTCTGGAAGAGCTAGGCTAGGAAGTGGAGCCTCAGCATTCTCCCCTCTGCCCTATCCGCCCCTGCTGCAGGGAGAGACGCCAGTGCCCAACATCATGGAGACTGCCTTCTACTTCGAGCAGGCTGGCGTGGGCCTGAGCACCGACGAGAGCTTCCGCATTTTCCTGGCCCTGAAGCAGCTGGTGGAGCAGCAGCCCATCCACACCTGTCGCTTCTGGGGCAAGATCCTGGGAATCAACCGCAGCTACCTGGTGGCTGAGGTGGAATTCCGGGAGGGCGAGGAAGAGGTGGAGGAGGAGGAGGTTGAGGAGGTGATGGAGGGCGCCGAGATCCTGGAGGCGCACGGTGAGGAGGAGGGCGAGGAGGACGAGGAGAAGGCCGTGGACTTCATCCCTAAGCCCACGTGGAAGCCGCCACCTGTGATCCCCAAGGAGGAGAGCCGCTCCGGCGCCAACAAGTATCTATACTTTGTGTGCAACGAGCCGGGCCTGCCGTGGACGCGCCTGCCCCACGTCACACCGGCCCAGATCGTCAGTGCCCGAAAGATCAAGAAGTTCTTCACAGGCTACCTGGACGCACCGGTTGTCAGCTACCCACCCTTCCCCGGCAACGAGGCCAACTACCTTCGGGCCCAGATCGCCCGCATATCGGCCGGCACTCAGATCAGCCCGCTAGGCTTCTACCAGTTTAGCGAGGAGGAGGGCGATGAGGAGGAGGAAGGTGGTGCTGGGCGCGACTCCTACGAGGAGAACCCCGACTTCGAGGGCATCCCCGTGCTGGAGCTGATCGACTCCATGGCCAACTGGGTGCATCACACACAGCACATCCTGCCGCAGGTGAGCGCCGGGAGCCTGGGCGTGACCATGCAGTACTGATGTCAGGCTGGGCGTCGTGGCTCATGCCTGTAATCTCAGCACTTTGGGAGGCCGAGGTGGGAGGATCAAGGTCAGGAGTTCGAGACCAGCCTGGCCAACATGGTGAAACCCCGTCTCCAATAAAAATACAAAAATTAACTAGGTGTGGTGGCAGGCACCTGTAGTCCCAGCTACTCGGGAGGCTGAGGCAGGAGAATTGCTTGAACCCGGGAGATGGAGGTTGCAGTGAGCCGAGATGTCACCACTACACTCCAGACTGGCAGAACAAGACTCCATCTCAAAAATAAAAATAAAAATAAAATACTTACATCAAGTTCCCACTCTCTGCTAGGCATTGTGCCAACTAATATTCATTTGTTCGATCATTCATTCGTTCATTCGTTCGTTCATTCATTCATTCATTCATCGATTTATTCATTCATTGGTTCAACAGATATTGGTGGATAATCCCATCAGAAACCTCTCGGGACAGATGCATTTTTTTCCCTTTTTTCTCTTTTGGAGAAGGAGTCTCACTCTCGCCCAGGATGGAGGGCAGTGGCGTGATCACGGCTCTCTGCAAACTTCTCCTCCTGGGTTCAAGCAATTTTCCTGCCTCAGCCTCCCACGTAGCTGGGACTACAGGGGCACGCTGGCATATCTGGCTAATTTTTTTTGTATTCTAGTAGAGATGGGGTTTCACTGTGTGGCCCAGGCTGGTCTCAAACTCCTGAGTTCAGGCAATCTACCTACCTCAGCCTCCCAAAGTTATAAGCATGAGCCACGGCTCCTGGTCCATTTTTTTTTCTTTTAAGACAGTCTTGTTCCATCACTCAGGCTGGAATGTAGTGATGTGATCATAACTCACTGCTCCTTTGACCTCCCGGGCTCAAGTAATCCTCCTGCCTCAGCCTCCAGAGTAGCTGGGACCAGAGGCATGTACTGTCACCACTAATTCTTTTTAATAGTCAGGGTCCCACTGTGTTGCCCAGGCTGGTCTCAAACTCCTGGGCTCTTTCCACCTTCCAAAGCAATCCCTGTGCCTTGGCCTCCCAAAGTGCTGGGATTACTGGTGCTAGCCATCAAGCTCGGCTTCTACATTGTTTTGCTGAATCCAAGTAAGTCATTTTGAGATGAGCACAACCATCATTCCCATTTCAGAGTTGATGACACAGAAATTGGCTATCGCTTACACTTATGTTCATCCATTTGTTCAGCAAACATTTATTGGCTCTTGGGCTGGGTGAGACGGCTCACACCTGTAATCCCAGCACTTTGGGAGGCTGAGACGAGTGGATCACTGCAGGTAGGTGTTTGAGAACAGCCTGACCAACATGACGAAACACCGTCTCTACTAAAAATGCAAAGTTAGCCTGTAATCCCAGCTACTCAGAAGGCTGAGGCAGGAGAATGGCTTGCACCCACCACTGCGCTCAGCCTGGGCAACAAGAGGAAAACTCTGTCTCAAAAAAAAAAAAAAAAAAATGCTGGGCATAGTGGTTTGCACCTATGGTCCCAGCTATTCGAGAGTCTAAGGCAGGAGAATTGCCTAAAACTGGAGGGTGGAGGTTGCAGTGAGCTGAGATCGTGCCACCGCCCTCCAGCCTGGGCAATACAGTGATACTCTTGTCTCAAAACAAACAAACAAACAAAAACATTTATTGGCTCTTGGGTATCTCATGTAACTCAACAACAATCCAATGAGAGAGGCATCCACGACACTCCCACTTCACAGATGAGCAGACAGGAGATCCTATGGACTGCCCAATGTCAGCTGCACAAGGGGGAAGCCTTTGGGGATCTCTTCAAGGCTGTATGCCCAGTACACAGAGCAGTGCTTGTGTAGAGTACATTAGATAGATGTTAAAGAATAAACAAGTGGGCCGGGCACGGTGGCTCACACCTGTAATCTCAGCACTTTGGAAGGCTGAGGTGGATGGATCACTTGAGGTCAGGAGTTCAAGACCAGCCTGGCCAACATGGTGAAACCCCGTTTCTACTAAAAATACAAAAATTAACAGGGCATGGCTGGGTGCGGTGGCTCATGCCTATAATCCCAGCACTTTGGGAGGCCGAGGAAGGTAGATCACGAGGTCAAAAGATTGAGACCATCCTTGTCAACATGGCAAAACCCTGTCTCTACTAAAATACAAAAATTAGCTGGTGTGGTGGCACGTGCCTGTAGTCTCAGGAACTCAGGAGGCTGAGGCAGGAGAATAGCTTGAATCTGGGAGGCAGAGGTTGCGGTGAGCTGAGATCATGCCACTGCACTCCAGCCTGGGCAGCAGAGTGAGACTCTGTCTCAATTAAAAAAAAAAAAAAAAAAAAGCCGGGCGCGGTGGCTCAAGCCTGTAATCCCAGCACTTTGGGAGGCCGAGGCGGGTGGATCACGAGGTCAAGAGATCGAGACCATCCCGGTCAACATAGTGAAACCCCGTCTCTACTAAAAATACAAAAAATTAGCTGGGCATGGTGGCACGTGCCTGTAATCCCAGCTACTCAGGAGGCTGAGGCAGGAGAATTGCCTGAACCCAGGAGGCGGAGGTTGCAGTGAGATCATGCCATTGCACTCCAGCCTGGGTAACAAGAGCGAAACAACTCTGTCTCAAAAAAAAAAAAAAAAAGGAATCAGTGAGTGAATGAATACGTGAATAAGGGTCGCACAGTCAGTAGTCCTCAATATAGCAGCTCCGTTAGCCCGTTTCCCACCTCCCGTTAACCGTGCAGCTAAATCTTGCCCTCTTGCCCATGCCTGGGTCTCTGAGGACAGGGCCATGCTTTAGTCCCATTGGGCTTTCACCTCCCCACAGGGTGCAGGCTGGGCTCCGTGCACTGGGGCATTACCTGAGCTTCCCCCCACCCCCAGGGCCGCTGCACTTGGGTGAACCCTTCCCAGAAGACAGAGGAGGAGGAGGACCTGGGAGAGGAGGAAGAGAAGGCGGATGAGGGACCGGAGGAGGTGGAGCAGGAGGTGGGCCCCCCACTGCTAACACCACTTTCAGAAGATGCAGGTAAGAAGCGTTCTCAGACTGCACACCACTGGCCAGGAAGGGCTGGTAAGAAAGGGAGGGGCAGCTGGACTGCTGGGGTCCATCTCTCCTGTCCTTCCCTCCCAGCCTCAGAGGCTCAGCTACAAAATGGGCACGATCACAGTGCCCCCCCGCCCTGCCCCATCAGGAGGTTCTGGGAACATGTCCATAGACATGTGGCAGTGGCTCAGACCTTAGGATATGGCCTTTTGAGCCCTGCATGGGCCTGAAGGAAGGGAGATGTTGGGGAACCCTCCCTAAAGACTGGAGCTGGATTGGATCACAAGGTCAGGCATTCAAGACCAGCCTGGCCAACATAGTGAAACCCCATCTTTACTAAAAACACAAAAAATTAGCCAGGTGTCGTGGCAGGCCCCTGTTATCCCAGCTACTCTGGAAGCTGAGGCAGGAGAATCGCTTGAACCTGGGAGGTGGAGGTTGCACTGAGCTGAGATCGCGCCACTGCACCTCCAGCCCAGGCAACACTGTGAGACTTTGTCTCAGGGGGGAAAAAAAAAAAAAAAGACTGGAGCTGGGTGTGTGTGTATTGTTGTCGCTGTTGTTGTTGTTTTGAGACGAAGTCTGGCTCTGTTGCCCAAACTGGGGTACAGTGGTGCAATCTCAGGCTCACTGCAACCTCAACCTCCCGGGTTCAAGCGATTCTCCTGTCTCAGCCTTCTGAGTAGCTGAGATTGCAGGTGCACACTACCACACCCAGATAATTTTTGTATTTTTAGCAGAGACAGGGTTTCACCATGTTGGCCAGGCTGGTCTCGACCTCCTAACCTCAAGTGATCCACCTTCCTCAGCCTCCCAAAGTGCTGGGATTATAGGCATGAGCCTCTGTGCCCAATCTGGAGCTGGATTTTGGATGAATGGACAGGAATTTCCTAAGGTTGGGGCCTCAGGCACCCACAGAGTAGTGGAGAGAGAGGCTAGGAGTGGGTAAGGGTACAAGTCCTGGATTTGAAACTAGATCCTGCCAGCCTGTGCCCTCTGCACCCTGGTCCAAACCGATGGCCAGCCCAGGAATGGAATCACAGCGGCTCCCCAGTCTGGGGGCCCTGCTGGGTGCCAAGCACTGCAGCGGATGTGCTGCAGACACTGTCACCAGGCCTCAATGGCCACCCTCCAACAGAGGCCGGGTGAACCTCCCCATTTTCTGGGTGCAACTACTGAGGCTCAGACAGGTGAACTGGCTTCCTGGGGCCACATAGAGAGTGGTCCAGGCTGGGCACGGTGGCTCACATCTATAATCCTAACACTTCAGGAGGCCAGAGTGGGTGGATCACCTGAGGTCAGGAGTTTGAGACCAGCCTGGCCAACATGGTGAAATCCCGTCTCTACTAAAAATACAAAAAAAATTAGCCAGGCATGGTGACATGTACCTGTAATCCCAGATACTCAGGAGGCTAAGGCAGGAGGATTGCTTGAACCCGGGAGGCGGAGGTTGCAGTGAGTTGAGCTCATGCCACTGCACTCCAGTCTGGGCAACAGAGCAAGACTCTGTCTCAAAAAAAAAAAAAAAAAAAAAAAAAAAGGAGAGAGAGAGAGAGAGTGGTCTGCAGCCAGGGTTCAAACACCGCAGCCGGAGCTATCGGTTGCTGTGGTTTCCTTCATAACCCTCCAGGCCTCCCTCATTGCTGCCTGCCCTCCTATGGGGCGCAGTGCAGGGCCTGGGGCCTCCCTGACCCTGCCGTCCCTCTCTGCTGCCTCTCCACCACAGAAATCATGCACCTGTCACCCTGGACCACGCGCGTGTCCTGCAGCCTCTGCCCACAGTACTCCGTGGCTGTCGTGCGCTCCAACCTCTGGCCCGGGGCCTTTGCCTATGCCAGCGGCAAGTAGGTGTTCTCCCAGCCCCTCCCAGCGGGGCGATCCCTTAGGACTTCTTCGAGCCCTGGTTGGGCAGGGCACCTCGCCAGGGTGGGCAGAGATGGGGAGGGCCCCCTTCAGGAAGCCCCCAGGACTGACCCCCTCACAGCTCCTAGGAGTTTCACGGGTGTTGGGAACCAGTCCAGCCCTGTTCGTGGGTGCCTTGTGTCCCGGCAGTGACGAGGGAGTGAGAAAAACAAAGACACAAGAATAGACTTTTACAGCATGGGTCCAGGGGTCCAACGCACTCTCGCACGGTGATCCACGTTAGCACGGAACTCCCACCCAGCTCCGCACTCTCCACAGTCCCTTCAGCCTTCCTCACCAGGCACCTGGCCACCGCCTGCTCCGCTGCGAAACGGGGTTTGCAGTTGGCGGTGGGCGCACCTACCAGCTCTGTCCACCAGATGGCGTGACGACTTTTCCTAGAATTTCCTTTTTAATTTCAGTGCGAACCAGGGCTATTCTCTCCAATATGAATCACAGCCATGGTGGGATTGCACGTAATCTGGATACTTTAACACATTCCTGGCATTTTTTTTTTTTTTTTTTTTTTTTTTTGCTTTCTCTGGAAGCTGGGAAGAGGCATGTTTGCTTTTGCCAACTCCCTTCTTCTGGCCATACCTCAATATGCCAACATCCCTCTGAAAGCAAAAGATCCAAACTTGAGGCCCCACTTGTTCATCCATCCTCTGCCCCACCCACCTACCCGCTCTTCTGTTCTCCACCCAATCTGTGTCCATCCATTGTTGCATTGTTTTTCTTTCTTTCTTTTCTTTTCTTTCTTTCTTTTTTCTTTTCTTTTTTTTTTTTTTTTTTTGAGATGGTGTCTCTGTCACCTAGGCTGGAGTGCAGTGGTGCAATCTCAGCTCACTGTAACCCCCACCTCCCAGGTTCAAGCGATTCTCCTGCCTCAGCCTCTTGAGTAGCTGGGATTCCAGGTGCCTGCCACCACGCCCAGCTAATGCTGTATTTTTTGGTAGAGATGAAGTTTTGCCATGTTAGCCAGGCTAGTCTCGAACTCTTGACCTCAGGTGATCCACCTGCTTTTACCCACCTTAGCCTCCCAAAGTGCTGGGAATACAGGCATAAGCCACCACACCCGGCCAAATATTGTGTCTTGAGGGGATCAGGGAAGAATTCCTGGGAAAAGCAGTTTTTCTTTTTCCCATTACCTCTTTCTTAGGGAAAGGAAGAGATAATGGGGAAAAGCAGGCAGAAGGAACATCCTAGACCAGAGTTTCCCAACTGTGAGTGCGTGGCAATCCCCTGGGAATCAGGTTTGGATGCAGATTCTGGTCCCATGGGTCTGCGACAGAGCCTGAGGTCTGCGTTTCTGACAAGCTCCCAGGTGTAGTCGAGGCTACTGATTCAAGGGCCACCTGAACCAGGACAGGTAGGGAGTGCAAGGCTTCCAAAGAAGCTGTGCCTTTGAAGGCTCCAAGGAAGTCCTGGAGGAAAACAATTCCTCCAGAAAAGCAAGAATGTAAAAATAAGGTCAAACGCAAATGGCTCCTCCATGCAAACTCCACATCCTGCCCTACCTTGCTTCTTGCTCTTTCTCCTCCTACTTCTCTCTGTCCCTTTTTTTTTTTTTTTCTTGAGATGAAGTCTCACCCTGTTGCCCAGGCTGGAGTGCAGTGGCACGATCTCAACTCACTGCAACCTCCGCCTCCTGGGTTCAAGCAGTCCTCCTGCCTCAGCCCCCTTAGTAACCGGGATTACAGGCATGTGCCACCACGCCCGGCTAATTTTTGTGTTTTTTTGTTTGTTTGTTTTTTGTTTTTGAGACAGAGTTTCGCTCTTGTTACCCAGGCTGGAGTGTAGTGGCACGATCTCGGCTCACCGCAACCTCCACCTCCTGGGTTCAAGCAATTCTCCTGCCTCAGCCTCCTGAGTAGCTGGGATTACAGGCACGCGCCACCCTGCCCAGCTAATTTTTGTATTTTTAGTAGAGACGGGGTTTCACCATGTTGACCAGGATGGTCTCGATCTCTTGACCCCGTGATCCACCCGCCTCGGCCTCCCAAAGTGCTGGGATTACAGGCTTGAGCCACCGCGCCCGGCCTTAATTTTTGTATTTTTAATAGAGACAGGGTTTCTCCATGTTGGCCACTCCTGACCTCAGGTGATCCACCTACCTTAGCCTCCCAAAGTGTTGCGATTACAGGCCCGAGACACCGCGACTGGCCCTCTCTGCCTCTTTATTGGCCTCTGTCTCCCTCTCTCTCTACCTGTTAGTCCCCTCCCTTTCCTCTCATTTATTCCTCTTTCCTTCTCTAGTTAAAATTCTGCAGAAAGGTTGAATTGGCTGGGTTAAGACTGGGCGCTTACCTCCTTGTTCATTATCAATCTCCTCTTACCGGAATGTAAGCACAATAAGAGGGAGTTGTTTTTGTTTTTCGTTTTTTTGTTTTAATAAGATGGGGTTTCACCATAATGGCCAGGCTGGTCTTGAACTCTTGACCTCAGGTGATCCACCCACCTCGGCCTCCCAAAGTGCCAGGATTACAGGCATGAGCCACCACACCCAGACTTCTTTTTTTTTTTTTTTTTTTGAGATGGAGTTTCGCACGTTACCCAGGCTGGAGTGCAATGGCACGATCTCGGCTCACCGCAACCTCTGCCTCCTGGGTTCAGGCAATTCTCCTGCCTCAACCTCCTGAGTAGCTGGGATTACAAGCATGAACCACCATGCCCAGCTAATTTTTTTTTTTTTTTTTTTTTTTTGAGACGGAGTTTCGCTCTTGTTGCCCAGGCTGGAGTGCAATCGCGCGATCTCGGCTCACTGCAACCTCCGCCTCCCGGGCTCAGGCAATTCTCCTGCCTCAGCCTCCTAAGTAGCTGGGATTACAGGCACGTGCCACCATGCCCAGCTAGTTTTTTGTATTTTTAGTAGAGACGGGGTTTCACTATGTTGACCAGGATGGTCTCGATCTCTCGACCTCATGATCCACCCGCCTCAGCCTCCCAAACTGCTGGGATTACAGGCATGAGCCACCGCGCCCGGCAAATTTTTTGTATTTTTAGTAGAGACGGGGTTTCACCATGTGACCAGGATGGTCTCGATCTCTTGACCTCGTGATCCACCCGCCTCAGCCTCCCAAAGTGCTGGGATTACAGGCGTGAGCCACCGTGCCCGGCTTTTTTTTTTTTTTTTTTTTTAATGAGCCTTGCTCAGTGGCCCAGACTGGAGTGCAGTGGTGTAATCTCATGATCTCATTCACTGCGGCCTTCACCTCTTGGGTTCAATGATTCTCAAGCCTCAGTCTCCCGAGTACCTGAGACTACAGGCACCCACTACCACACCTAGCTAATTTTTGTATTTTTTGTAGAGATGGGGTCTCACCGTGGTGGTCTCGAGCTCCCGACCTCAGTTGATCCTCCCGCCTCAGTCTCCCAAAGTGTTGGGATTACAGGCCTGAGCTGCTATGCCCGGCAGGGATTTTTGTCTAGTTTGTTTACTGCAGTGTCCCGAGCACCTAGACCATTTTATTCATGTCCCACATAATATGTCCAACACAAATAAAATGTCACAATATAAATAAACTGATATCCAACATGAAATTATGTCTCACATAAATAAGAACCACATATGGCCGGGCGCGGTGGCTCAAGCCTGTAATCCCAGCACTTTGGGAGGCCGAGGCGGGTGGATCACTAGGTCCAGAGATCGAGACCATCCTGGTCAACATGGTGAAACCCCGTCTCTACTAAAAATACAAAACATTAGCTGGGCATGGTGGTGCGTGCCTGTAATCCCAGCTACTCAGGAGGCTGAGGCAGGAGAATTGCCTGAACCCAGGAGGCGGAGGTTGCGGTGAGCTGAGATCATGCCATTGCACTCCAGCCTGGGTAACAAGAGCAAAACTCCGTCTCAAAAAAAAAAAAAAAAAAAAAGAGATCGAGACCATCCTGGTCAACATGGTGAAACCCCGTCTCTACTAAAAATACAAAAAATTAGCTGGGCATGGTGGCGCGTGCCTGTAATCCCAGCTACTCAGGAGGCTGAGGCAGAAGAATTGCCTGAACCCAGGAGGTGGAGGTTGCGGTGAGCTGAGATCGCGCCATTGCACTCCAGCCTGGGTAACAAGAGTCAAACTCCATCTCAAAAAAAAAAAAGAAGAAGAGCCACATATATAATTTAAAATTTAATTTTTTTTTTTTTTTTTTTTTTTGAGACGGAGTTTCGCTCTTGTTGCCCAGGCTGGAGTGCAATGGCATGATCTCGGCTCACCGCAACCTCCGCCTCCTGGGTTCAGGCAATTCTCCTGCCTCAGCTTCCTGAGTAGCTGGGATTACAGGCACACACCACCATGCCCAGCTAATTTTTAGTATTTTTAGTAGAGACGGGGTTTCACCATGTTGACCAGGATGGTCTCGATCTCTTGACCTCGTGATCCACCCACCTCGGCCTCCCAAAGTGCTGGGATTACAGGCTTGAGCCACCGCGCCCGGCTAAAAAATTTTTTATTTACTTATTTCTTGATTTATTTTGAGACACGTTCTCACTCTGTCACCCAGGCTGGAGTGCAGTGGCATGATCATAACTTATCGCAGCCTCAAACTCCTGGGCTCAAGCAGTCCTCCCACCTCAGCCTCCCTGGTAGCTGGAACCATAGGCATGTACCACCACAACTAGGTAATTTTTAAACTCTGGGAGGTGGAGGCGGGCAGATCACTTGATATCAGGGGTTCGAGACCAGCCTGGCCAACGTGGTGAAACCCCCTTTCTACTAAAAATACAAAAATTAGTCCAGGCATGGTTGCTTATGCCTGTAATCCTAGCACTTTGGGAGGATGAGGTGGATAGTTCACTTGCGGTCAGGAGTTTAAGACCAGTCTGGCCAAAATGGTGCAACCCTGTCTATACTAAAAATACGAAAATTAGCTGGGTGAGGTGGTGTGTGCCTGTAGTCCCAGCAACTCGGGAAGCTGAGGCAGGAGAATGGCTTGAACCCAGGAGGCGGAGTTTGCATCCAGCCTGGGTGACACAGAGAAACCCAGTGAGCACATTTCAGTCTGCCACCTTCAACTTTGCCGTCACGCTACGCACACGCTGGGTCCTACCTTTAAAGGAGGTCAAGGCTGGGGCCTTTGAAGGAGAATTTCACAGTGTCTCACTGCCTCTCCAGAAAGTTTGAGAACATCTACATCGGCTGGGGTCACAAGTACAGCCCTGAGAACTTCAACCCGGCCCTGCCAGCCCCCATTCAGCAAGAGTACCCCAGCGGCCCAGCGATCATGGAGATGAGTGACCCCACAGTGGAAGAGGAGCAGGCCTTGAAAGCAGCTCAGGAGCAAGTCCTGGCAGCCACAGAGGAGGAGGAGGAGGGCGAGGAAGAGGAGGAGGGCGAGGACACAGATGACTGAGGCCTTCGATATAGCCACTTTCCCCCAGCAGGTAGATAGCAGATTTCCCCTTGTCAGTAGTTAGTATGGATTATATTTTGACTGTCTGCTTCCTGTCCCCAGAGGGCAGGGACAGAAAAGGAAGGCAATTGCCTCAAATAAAATTCCTCCATGGCATTGTGGATGAGCCATTCATTCCTTTGTTTACTACGTCTGTTGACCTGGACTCCAAGTCAGGGCTGTTGGGCCCTGCAGAGGGCACAGAGGGCACAGACATTGCCTGGCAGAGTCTCTCCCACCTGTTTGGTTTTTGTTGTTGTTTGAGACAGGGTCTCATTCTGTCACCCAGGTTGGAGGACAGTGGCACAATCTCAGATCCCTGCAACCTCGACCTCCCGGGCTCAAGCAGTCCTCCCATCTCAGCCTCCTGAGTGCACATCACCACATACACTAATTTTTTTGAGATGGAATCTCACTCTGTCACCAGGCTGGAGTCCAGTGGCACGATCTCAGCTCACTGCAACCTCCGCCTCCTGGATTGAAGCGATTCTCCTGCCTCAGCCTCTGATGTAGCTGGGACTACAGGCACGTGCCACCACACCCAGCTGATATTTGTAGTTTTTAGTAGAGACGGGGTTTCACCATGTTGGCCAGGATGGTCTCGATCTCTCGACCTTGTGATCTGCCCATCTCGTTGTCCCAAAGTGCTGGGATTACAGGTGTGAGCCACAGTGCCCGGCCCACATTCACTAATTTTTATATTTTTTGTAGAGACAGGGTCCTGAGTAGCTAGGACTCCAGGCACAGGCCACCATGCCCGGCTAAATTTTTTCAAATTTTTGGGGGTCTCGCTATGAGATGGGGTCTCACTATGTTGCCCAAGCTGGTCTTGAACTCTTGGCATCAAGCAATCTGCCAGTCTTGGCCTCCCAAAGTGTTGGGATACAGCCACCGTAACCAGCCCCACCTGTTTTATTTATTCACTTATCTGGCCATCAAACTATTACTGAAATACCTCCTGTCAGCCCAGCCCTGTGCTGGGGACACAGAGGTGACCAGACAGCTGCAGCCCTGCCTGCCTGGACCCCACAACACTATAAGGAGCAAGACTCATCTCTAGACAGTGACAGCCCAAATGGGGACTGTCAGAGGACTGACAGAGATCCCGAGCCAACTCGAGTCAAGAAAAGAACAGGGAAAGGCATTCCAAGAATAGAGAACAGAATGTGCAAAGACCCGAGGGCAAGAGAGAGTTTGATATGTTGGCGTAGTTTTTCAAGCCTCATTTTAGGTGGTAGATAGTGTGAGGACTTAGTAGTGAGAGATGAGATTGAAAAAAGGTTGGCAGGGGCCAGATCACTTGGGACTTAACTTTGTCCTGAGAGCACTAGGGAGCTACAGATGGGCTTTGAGCAGGGGAGGGCCCTGATCATATTCATGCTTTAGAAAGACCTCTCTAGGCTGGGCGCAGTGGCTCATGCCTGTAATCCCAGCACTTAGGGAGGCCAAGGTGGGTTGATCACCTGAGGTCAGGAGTTTGTGACTGGCCTGGTCAACATGATGAAACCCCATCTTCACTAAAAATGCAAAAAAGTAGCCAGGCGTGGTGGTGGATGCCTGTAATCCCAGCTACTTGGAAGGCTAAAGGAGAAGAATCGCTTGAAACTGGGAGGTAAACATTGCAGTGAACAAAGATGATGCTATTGAGCTCCAGCCCAGCAGGTGACAAGAATGATACTCCACCCCAAAAAATAAAAAAGAAAAGAAAGACCAAAGACCTCTGTACATGCCAAGTGAAAGGTGGAAGTGGGGATGAGACAGAAATCTGGGAGACCAAGAAACAAGGTTGAAAGGGCTCGGGTACAGGAGGAGCTTGGATCAGGGCTTCAGAGAACAAGGAACTGAGAAAGGAATTCCAGGTGGTCGAATGCAAAAAACGTGGAGTCTGGAAGTGAGGACAGTGTGAAGAGAAATGGTACACATCTAGGAAGACACCCAGGTTTGTGGCCTGGTTGACTCAGTGGACAGCAGAGCTAGCTCTGAGATGCAAGAGAGGAGCAGGATTTGGTGTAAGACGTCAGGTTTATTGTAGAATTCTTTTTTCTTTTTTCTTTTTCAGAGACTGAGTCTGACTCTGTCCCCCAGGCTGTAGGGCAGTGGCGTGATTATAGCTCACTGCAGTTTTGAGCTCCTGGGTTCAAGAGATCCACCTCAGCCTCCCAAAGTGCTGGGATTCTGGGGTTCCAGGCGTGAGCCACCCTGCCAGAACTATTGTAGGATTTTAAAAATTATTTATTATTTATTTATTTATTTTTAAGACGGGGTTTCACCACGTTGGTCAGGCCGCTCTTGAAATCCTGACCTCAGGTGATCTACCGGCCTTGGCCTCCAAAGTGCTAGGATCACAGGCATGAGCCACCATGCCCGGCAGGATTTTTTTTTTAAGTGTGAGATGCCCTTGGGAGAAATAGGGGAGGCCATTGACTACGGGAGACTAGAAAGATCTATGATGGGGCCCGGTGGCTTCAGCACACATGCGGAGCACTGGCTCCAAGTAGGAGCTGTTGGGATCCGGGGGAGACTTTGGGTTACAAGTGGATCACTGGGACACTGGGGCACCGTGGGGATCAATACAATTTGGGAATCGGGTAGGTTTTGGAGGCCAAGTGAGGTTGTTAAAAATAAGTCATGAAGGTTAACGTTGGAGGTTGGTGGAAAATATGAAGGATGTTTGGGGTTAGCATTAATCAATAGCGGGTCAGAGGAAGTCCTTGGAGTTGTGTGGGAACACAGGGATTTGGCGGGTCACCAAGAGTGGGGAAGAATGGTAAGAGATGCTGTGGTAATTTGGGGACTTGAATATGTCAGTGGGAAACTCTGGAGGTCAGGGGAGTGTATGTTGGGAGTCTACGGAAAGACTAAGGGTCACTTGGGGTCGGCTGTGACTTCATGGGAAGGCTGGATTACGGACGAGGGCTTTTTGGCGGGGGTGGGGAGGGGGGGGTCCCTTCGTTGCCAGGCAAACGGTTCCCAGGGCGCGGTCGCTAAGGGCTTTTCTAACTGGCCACGCCTCTTTCCTATACGGGCTCCGCCCCCGCAGCCAACCAAAAGTCGGTCACAGGCACAAAGGCTGCGCCCATCTTCTCGCCCCGCCCACAGTCTCTACCCGTTACCCGAGCGACCGCGGGGGATCGTCCCGCTTCCGGACCTGGGTGCCAATCGAAGAGGCGTCGCCCGGGCGACGACCCCACCTTTTCCGGTGCGGGCTCGCGGCTTCCGGCAGGGGGTCCGGCAGCGGGCGGCGGTCCGGCAGCCGCTGGGCCCGGGGGGCGCCCAAGATGGCGGCGGGCGGCGCGGAGGGTGGCTCGGGCCCCGGCGCCGCCATGGGGGACTGCGCGGAGATTAAGTCGCAGTTCCGCACCCGCGAGGGTTTCTACAAGCTGCTCCCGGGCGACGGCGCTGCTCGCAGGTCCGGTCCGGCTTCCTCCCAGACCCCGGTGCCGCCCCAACCGCCGCAGCCCCCGCCCGGCCCTGCCTCCGCCTCCGGCCCGGGCGCTGCAGGCCCCGCGTCGTCCCCGCCGCCCGTAGGCCCCGGGCCCGGGCCCGCGCTGCCCGCCGTGCGCCTCAGCCTCGTGCGCCTCGGAGAGCCGGACAGCTCCGGGACCGGGGAGCCACCCTCCACGCCCGCGGGGCTGGGCTCGGGGGGAGACCGCGTCTGCTTCAACTTGGGCCGTGAGCTCTATTTCTACCCGGGCTGCTGCCGCCGCGGGAGCCAGCGGGTGAGCGGCCTGTATCGTGGGGCCCTGGGTGCTGAAAGGATGTGGGTTCCAGAGAACTGATAAGAGGGTTCCCGAATTGGCATGGGACCCTGAGATAGACGTCCTAAATGTGGTGCACGTCCTAGGGCTACGGCATTCTTGGAGGGACTGTAGGATTCTGAAACGTGATGGGAAGCCCGCGGGGTGCTGGGCAGGCATCTTAGAGGTGATGGTGGAATCCCCTTTACCCCCTTTATGCGTAGGGGTTCTGGGATGGTGAGTATTTTAGACGTGACCGGGTATCTGAGATGAAGTGGGATCCCCGGTTCCGGGGTGGCAGGCATGGTAATGGGGAATCATGAGATGCAGGATCAGAAGTGATGGAGAAACGAGTATTGCAGCCTGGAGTGTTCGGAGGGATCTTGAGATTGAGCCCAGGAATGAGGAGAAGTCTAGAAGTGATGGGGACCTTGAAGGTAATAGAGGTCTAGAAGCTGAATGGGATCCTATAGAAAATTGGGGTCTGGAGATTATGAGGCTCCTGGAGGAGATGAGCGTGTGGAAGCTGATGGGAGATCTTAAGGAGAGGAGAGGCCCTGGCAGGGAAATCTGCAGGTGTGATTCAAGGCATCCCCAAAGCGATGTGGTGAGATCCCTGGCAGGTTATGGTGGTCCCAGAAATGATGGAGATCATCAGAGCACACAGGTGATAAACGGGCCTAAAATGTGGGAGGCCATGAGGTTTGATGGGTCTCCGAACTGTGGCGGTTTAGGGACTCCAAAGTGAAGGGAGTACTAGGATGTTAGGCTTTAGAGTCCTGGGAATTTGGATGCCCTCGAGGTTTGGGGGCCTTGGAATATTGTGGTAATAGGTCCCAAGGGAGTTGCCGAGGTTATAGGCTGGAGAGGTGGGGCTAAAAGGAATCGGAGCTCAGGAACTGTGTGGACCCACAACCCGGATGCTGTAGACAAAGGAGTGTCTGAATTAGGGGTGACCCAACTTTGGGGAGACACTGTGGTCAAGGGGGATCCTTCCCGTCTTTTTCTCTACTCTGTGATTTGGGTCCCATTCCCGTCTGTGGTTGCCCCCTCCTTCCCAACCCACCTACCCACCTCCCCACTTCCCTCTGGGTTCTAACCCTGCTTCCTCTTAGTGGTTTCCCCCAACCTCAACATCCTCTTCCTTCCCCTCAGTGGCACAGACCGTTAACTCCTTTTCTCCCACCCCTCAAGTCCATTGATCTCAACAAGCCAATTGACAAGCGGATCTACAAGGGCACCCAGCCCACCTGCCACGACTTCAACCAGTTCACTGCTGCCACGGAGACCATCTCCCTGCTGGTGGGCTTCTCAGCCGGCCAGGTGCAGTACTTGGATCTCATCAAAAAGGACACCAGCAAGTTATTCAATGAGGAGGTGAT